TGTTCCTGCCAAAGCAATGTGCAGCTGTCAGAGGGCAGCTTTTGGGTTCCAGGTTTGAACTGAAGGCATCAGGCTTGTCAGCAGGTGCCTTTGCCCACTGAGCCATCTTGTTAGCCTCAGATCTTTCTTGTAAAATTCTGACTTGGAGGGATGTTACAGTTGGAAAAAAACTTGGAGATGATCTCACCCTACCCCAAAGCACCCAATTTGAGTTAAGGGAAACTGAGGCCCAGAGAGATGTGGCATCGTTTCCAGGAGCCTGCGCAGGCCTGGGTCGGCTGTCACACACTATGGTGACCCCAGCTGACTCAAAGTTACAGCTCCTTTGAGAGTCTCCAGCTTTCAGGTGTTAGATCTCTGAGGACCAGTAAGATGGTGGCGTGGGATCCGACGCTGCAGGTACCTAAAGGGGCAGCTGATAGACCGAGGAAAGGCTGGGGAATGGTGCAGCCAGGGCTACAGTCAGAATGTTTGGACATTGTGAGTTTCCTTGCTTATTTGCATATTGCTTTGCCCTCTAATGTGGGAAAGACTTTGTTTTGTTTGCTGATGTGTCTCTGATACCCAAACAAAGTGTGGCTTCTAAATGATGGGGGTCAAGCATCAGCCAAATTGAGTTTGTTTTGTTTTTTAAATGGGTTCAGAGCTCACCTCACATCTCTGTGGAGCCTTGGCAAAGCTGTTTCCAGGTGGGGGTGGTTGTCGTAGTTTCTTTCTTTTCCCTCCTCCCCTCCCTTCCTCCCTCCATCCCTCCCTCCCTCCCTCCCTCCCTCCCTCCCTCCCTCCCCCCTCTCTCCATCCTTCCCTCCCTTCTTTTTCTCTTTTAACCTCAATTTCTTCAACTGGAAAAAATGGGGGCAATCACCTCTACACCCGAGGCTGGTTGAGTCCATGCAGGTGACGTATTAGGCCTGACTATTAACGTTTCATAATTGTGACACTTGCAGGAAGTTGGCAACGTGTCCTGGATTAGTGGGGACGAGAAGGGTTGTGCCATAGTGGAGAGGAGGCAGCTGACTCCTAGCCTTCCTAGCATATAGGAACCAACATGCCCAGCAGGCCTGGGCACAGCAAGGACTAGGCCTTTCCACCGGCTTGATCTCTGCTGCCATCTGGTGGTCATTCTCGGCAGTGGGCTGAGATTTACAGATTACATTTTCCACAGAGAAAAATGAGCTTTGCTAGACGATGACCCCTTTCCTTAAGCAAAGCCAGACCGTCAAGGTCTCTGATCTTCCAAGTTTGGTCCTTGACAAAGCTTGCCCTGTAGTCGTTTTGTAATGCCACGGAAACCAGTAAGACCAGAAAGGAACTGAGGGTCCCTGGGTAGCCATTTCTGAGACGTGGCCCCAAGAGGACCAACACAGGCAGGCAGCTAGAACTGGCCACTTCCCTCCAGTCCCCCATCCAGGCTGTATTTGCTGAGTTGAGAATAGTGCTTTGGTCACTTCTGTCCAGCTGAGCGACGCGATTAGCATCCTGACTGCGTCTTCGTGGGGGTCAAAAGACCATTCATTATGTTGTTAGTCTACTCCCTGGAGGCATGGTGTGTGTGTGTGTGTGTGTGTGTGTGTGTGTGTGTGTGTGTGTGTGTGTGTGTGGAGAATCATCACTGGGATTCAAAGGCACTGGTATGCCCTGATTAGGCTATTGCCGGGAGGGGGAGGTTTCATTTCCAAGACGGCCTGGTGTGGTAACACACACCTTTAACCCCAACATCCCAGAAGCAGAGGTAGCAGGATCTCTGAGAGTTCAAGGCCAACCTGGTCTGCATAGCCAGCTCCAGGACAACAAATAAATAAATAACATTAAAAATTTTAATACAAGCATTTAGAAATGAACTTGCCTAGATATGAGTCTTATATGAGACTGTGCAATATACTTTGCTTAGGAATATATGATAAAGAATCATATTTCTGGATGAGGAAAATATATTAAATATTCAGAAATGTATATAAAATTCAAATACAATTCTAGTTACATTTTAGATGATAATAACAAAAAAGAAAAACCATTCCTAAAGTATTAAAGGTCTCTCCGACCTTCACTACTAAGTCCCGCCATGCTATATTTCATTAAAAGGAATTTTTGTTCTCCTTGTTTATGGATGAGAGAACTGAGGCTTAGAGAGGACGAAATGACTTATCCAAGGTCACACCCCTAGTGAACAACCAAACAGGCTGGGGACAATGGCTCACACCTGCAATCCAAGCACAAGGGAAAATGAAGTAGTGTTGTGGGATGTTTGTACACTGTGTGAGGTGTATTGCTGTGATTGGTGTAACAAAAAGCTGAGTGGCCAATAGTGAGGCCAATAGGCGGGATTTCTGGGAAAGTAAGAGGATGAGGACTCTAGGCACGTGGGAGACAACAGAGAGGAAACAGAAAGTGCAAGATGACAGAGAAGCAATACCACGTGACAGAATGTAGATTAACATAAATGGGCTAGTTTACATTTTAAGAGCTAGTTAGGAATAAGTCTAAGCTATAGGCAAGCTTTCGTAATTAATAAAAAGTCTCCATGTCATTATTTGTAAGCTGACTGATGGGACAGAAAAAGACTTATTACATTTGGCGCTTCCACGTGGACATGACACAACCACGTGAAGGAAGAAGTCATGCCAGACAGAGGGACAGTCACTGCAGTCATTGTGCGGGCCTCTCTGCTAGCACTCACAACAGTCGGCTCGTTCACAGGGACCCAGGAAAATGGGCTCAGTAACTTCCCAAAGCTGGGGTGGTAAACATGGCTTCTGCCCATACCCACGTGAGGCAAGGTCTCAGGGAAGCAAGAGGGGTGGAGTCAGCCACCAGAGCTGCACGGGGTCAGACGAGCTGTTTGAGGCTTGGCTTACCTGGTCAGAGAACACTGCAGACACGCAAAAGGCCAGGTTCAGACAGACAGACAGACAGACAGACACACACACACACACACACACACACACCACACACACACACCTCTTAGAAAGTACAGTATGCTATCAAATGTGCTTAGATGCTGAAGAAAGAAAAGAAAATGAGTATAGACAGACATGGGGAAAGTGGTTTAGAAATAACAAAGTCTTTAAAGAGAGTAAAGCAAGATAGCAAGAATAAGCCACATAAGGATGGGAAATACACAGGCACCTAGACCCTGTATGGTGCTTTGGTGACCTCGAATTTTTTAAATGCTGATGTATAAAAAGCAGTAACTTCTGAGAGACAATAGATCATAGAAGCTGCTAAATTAAACCAACCTAGATATCATAAGAATGTCTTAACCTCAAAATGGAAGTCAGAAAATATGTTATGTTGAGGGAAAGGTTATGTCTTTGTTTCCACAGGAAACAAAGATCTATGGTTCTCTTCAAAGTCTGGAATAAAGATCAAATTTGATTGGGGGAGACCTTCTGAAAATCTAGGCTACAAGCATGAAGAAAAACCAAGAGAGAAAAATTACAGGACAGGTGACATACATGCTGATCCCTCTAGCTATGGGAATGGCTTTGAGACTGGAGGAGACATGATAGAGTTTGCTGGCTACAGAGTCCTCATGACTTATTATTACATACATCCTTCCATATGGTGAGGATAGAGGTTTGGTCATAAGGGCCAAACAGACTTATAAAGTTGACAGATACCTTTTATCTTTAGCTGATTTGTGCACACTTCAGATTCCATACCTATGTGTGTATGTATGTATGATGTATGTGTGTGTATATATGTATATGTATATATATATATATATATATCCTTTAAAAATTTATGTGTTTTCAGAAAAAAGAACCAAACACCAATAAAGACAAGTAGCCCAGGTGATTCGGCCTCCCAGAATGCCTGTTGCAGTTTCCTCAAAATTCTGCATCCAGAATAACTTCAAAGCCGCTAATTGAGATGTTCCAAACTCAATAAATAAATAAATAAATAAATAAATAAATAAATAAATAAATAAATAAATAAAATAAAATAAAGGACAGACTTAGGGGCTGGGAAAATGGCTCAGTTGATGTGAAGACCTGAGAGACAGGTGTGCTGGCGTGAGCTTGCCATCCATCCTTGGAGCTCTCTGGGCAGCCAGAGTCCCTTCATCAACAAGCCCAAAGTCCTAGTGAAAGATCCCGTCTCAAAAAAACAAGGTGGACATCTCCTGAGGTTATTCTCTAGCTGGTACACAGACACACACACAGAGACACACACACACTGACACACAGAGACACACAGAGACACACACACACCACACAGACACACACACACACCACACAGACACACACACCACACACACACAGACACCCTTGTCACTAGTTTTGTGGTAACCAAGCCAGACCTCCAAGGCCTCCCTGGTCTTAGCCCCTAAAATGGCATTAGCCATGCACTATCCTCGAGAGTACTAAGTTACCCAAAGAACTTTCCTGAAACTCCAGCAGGAAAGGATAAAGACAGAGTTTTTAAATCCCACAATCCATTGACCTTCCTAGAGGGTGTTTTGATTGCAGATGAAGCCCCTGGGCTCCCTCCCATCTGCCACTTCCCCTCCAGCGAGGCCCCTCACCCACCTTGGCCATCTTTCCCCACATGGGCAGTATGAGAACACCATGAAAAGCTGGTCGGTGAAACCTGGACTAAGTTCTAGAACGCTAACAGGCTCTAAGTCTCCCTCCCGGAAGTACTTCAACAGGTCTAGAGCAAGACCAGAAATCCAAAAAATTCACAACCCCTACTCCCATGACACTGATTTGGAGAGAGTTTTGGCACAAGTTTTGGGACCTGCATTGAAGTGGACTGAAAACATTCAAGTTGTGGGGAGGCACAGAGCTGGACAAGCTACAGGGTTCCCCCTTCCGCTAAGCGCTCTGTCCTGTTCTCAGAGCAGCTTACTGTACATGTATTGAGGGCAAAGTCCTTCACCCATCTCCAGGGGGGCTTTCAGCCTTGGCCCATCCAGTTTCTGAAATTCAGCAATCCTCCTCCACCCGTTCTGAACCAGTTGGCCCAAGTCCCACTCAGAACCACACAGAAAGCAGTGAAGTAAAAGTTGCTTTAATTGGGGGGTGAAGTCCTCAGTCAGGGAGACCTCACTCTATCTTTAGTGGAGGGGTGTCACACCCCCTCCAATGCCCTGAGGCCCCTCGGGAAAGAGGGAGCAGCGGAACAGCGAATTAAGGAAGAGGTCAGGGGCGGATAGGCAAACCCAGGTTACGGAAGCTGCAGGACCCTAACCAGACCTGGGGAAGCTGACCCAGGCAAGAGCTTAAGCCCACGGGTTCAACCAAGGAGTGGCTGAGGCGGCTGCGCACTGAACAGTGGTGCCAGGGGGTCCGTGGGCAAAGGGGACAGCAGGGAAGGAGTGCTTAGGAGATCAGGCGACTGTGGAGCTGGTGCAGCTGCTCCTGGGTCAGCACCAGACGGTGTCGCTGTCCTAGGCCGGCCGCACACGAGAAGGTCACCTTGCCCATGTAGACCGTGTCGTCTTGCTGCTCTTCCTTGGCCTTGTGTTGGGAAGAGAAAGAGGACGTCAGGTCAAGGGCTGCCTTGACTATGGCCACCGAAGGCCCCTTGGGTACAGGCACTGTGGCAGTCCCTGGACACTGGGAATATCTTTCAAATAGAACAGGTGGGTCTAACAAGGCAACCGAGTCCCTCCTGGTGTAACAGCCAGGGCAGGCATTATTTATGTGCCGGGACAGTCCAATCTATAAAAGCCGGAAGCACTTCGGGGATCTGAGCAAGCAAGATGTGGCCCTGCCAGATAAAGGCCTCTTGGAGGCCCAGGAAGAAGAGCAGAAGCCACAGGAGCACCTGGAACGGTCCATCATCCCCCGCAGCGTGCTCCCCCTTACCCTGAGGAAGGCTGACGAAGGGAAGGTGGCAAAGTCAGTGGGAACGGTAGCTCCAGGACGCTGAGTTACTGTCTCCTTGAGGACTTCATCCTGGGGAGGGGGAGAGAGGGGACCCCGTTGGTAGTTCAAGACCTGCCCAGCTTCACAGAGACACTAGTTCCAGAGGACTTGGCTTCCTATCACCACACTTGCGCCCGTCTCTAACCCCCCGGCCCCCCCCCCACCCCCCACCCCCACCCCGTCTCTAACCCCGTCTCCACCCAGCGCCCTTCACGCTTTATGCACTGTCACCCTGGAAGGCCAAGCTCGGCTTCTGTTACAGCCGTAAATGGTACAGTGTCAGAAACCACCAGCAAATGCTCTGCCGCCAATGGCTTCAGCTGACAGAAGCTGTGGCCACACATCCTGAAGAATCACTGGCTCAGCACTGTGGCTCAGCAGCCTAAAGAGGATCCTACCAGGCGCTTTGTTGAGAAGCCTCCCTTCCCTCCCACCCTCTCCCCAGTGTGCCTCAAAGCATGGGGCAGGTGCAGAGAGACCCCAGAAGTGCCTGGCACTGCCAAGGGGCGAGCCAATCAAGTCCAGTGTAGGAAAGGCAGGATGAGACTGACCTTGAGCTTCTCAATGGTGTCACTCAGGGACTTGAGCTGAGCCACTTGCTCCATAAGCTGAGCTGACGGGCTCTTGGCAGCTGTGAAGAGAGAAGGATGCTGAGGACACAAAGGTCCCTCCGAGCAGCTGAACTACATGGCCAGGAGCATCAGTACTGAACCCACGTAGCACAGGCACTTTAGAGAGAGCGTGAACTGGGTCTGGTGGGAAAGCCTAGAACCCAGCCACTGTGAGACTAGACAGGAGGATAGGTAGTTCAAGGCCTGCCTGGGCAACTTACTAAGACCTTGTCTCAAAAATAAACATAAAAAAATTAAAAAGTGCCAGGCATGGTGGTACATGCCTCTCTCTAATCCCCGCACTCAGGGAGGCATAGGCAGCTGGATCTGAGTTCGAGGCCAGCCTGGTCTACAAAATGAGTTCCAGGGCAGCCAGGGCTACACAGAGAAATCCTGTCTCAGAAACCAAAACAAACAAAAAATTAACAAGTAAAAAGCTGGGCCCACAGAGCTTTAGTAGCAAGCTTGAGGCCTTTAGTTCAATCCCCAGTAGGAGAGAAGAGTGGAAGGAGAGACAGAGGACAGGGAAGAGAAAGCGGGAGAGAACAAGAGTAAGGCACGGGGAAACTGACTCTGAGGCCGCAGCCATCTTCTCAGTGGGGAGCACACACCTGGGCTGGTCCGCGTGATATCTATCACATGCGTGTGCGTGCTCAGCTGATTTAGTGTCTCCAGTAGCTGGCTGGTCTTGCGATACAGTGTCCCAGCCACCAGCTCACCACCAGGGCCCTCGTGGGGCGGGAGGGAAAGCTTTGCTACGTGCAAAGGGGGCAGAGCGGCCAAGGATGCCTTCATCTGGGCTCCCTGTCAGGATGTGGGAGGGAACAGAAGTCGTGTAAGAGGTGCAGGCGGCCTTCAGTGCTCATCACGGGCCAGCACACCCATCACGGTTCGGCACACCCATCACAGGCCGGCACACCCCCTACGGTCCTTACTTTGAGGATGCTGTTCTCATGCTGGAGCTGCGAGATGTGCAGCCTCATGGCGGAGATCTGCTGGAGCAGCAGCGGTGAGTCCTTTACCAGCCCCGGACCTGGCAAGGCACCTGGAGCCTGCCCAGGAGTGGCCCCTGTCAATGTCACAGAATATCATCAGTCCTGGCTGCAGAGGTTGAAAATTGGCTCTTCCCTCACACCTCCACTTCTGAAGGCACATGGGAGAAGCCTCATGCTGTCCCCCGTCCCAGTGCCCAAGGCCTTGGTAAACCCCAGCCGGGGCAGAGTCTACCTCGCTGTTGTTCTTCTGTGTGCAGGAGCCCGCGGGGAAGCAGAAAGAGAGAGAGGGGATTAGACAATGTGGGGGCGCAGGACGCAACAGAGGAACTCTGGACACAACATGCAGAAGAGCCTCTTGGTCACCACCAAAGCCTCCTCTCTAAGACCCTGCTCTGCCACTGGGTGAGAGCAGACATGTGATAGAGGGCAAAACCCATGAGGAAATAGCGCAGACCCGCTGAGGGACCACAAGACCGACATCAGGCAAGGCTAGACATTCCAGCAGGGAGTTTCTAGAGTCTAACTTGGTCGTTACTCTGACTTCACCGGCAGTCTGGTAACATGCTACTTTACTCAGTGGGTCTCCAAACCTATCTTCATGGCAAGAGAAAAGAAGTGTGTTCTTGGCTGAACACCAGGGGTATAGGCACCTGAAGTCAAACTGAGGCCAGAAGAGGGGACAGTCAGTCTAATCTCCCTAGGCCAATGCCACCTGTACACTGTACTCACCACCAGCAATGCCAGAGACCAGGGTAGCAATGCCTGAGGGAGGGGGACCCCGAAGCCCTTCAATTGTGCGCTTGGACTGGCTGTTAAGCCGCTGCTTTAGCTCTGCCTTCTCTGCCTCCAACTGGTCGATGTCAGCCTGGAGTGCATCCATTGTCTCCTCAAAGTCTCTGTGATAAAGAACCTGGGTTCAGGCATGTTCCTCACAGCCCCACATGACTTTCCACCCTGACAGCAGGCCCTTAGATGCAACCCCAGCAACGCAGTGGTGTGCGCTAGGAAGTCACACTACAAGGAAGAAGTCTCTAGTGACAGAAAGTGGCAGGTAGGAGGGATGGGTGGAGGACTCAGGGCCCAGGGATGGGATGGGTGGAAGACTCGGGGCCCAGGGATGGGATGGGTGGAGGACTCGGGGCCCAGGGATGGGATGGGTGGAGGACTCGGGGCCCAGGGATGGGATGGGTAGAGGACTCCGGGCCCAGGGATGGGATGGGTGGAGGACTCGGGGCCCAGGGATGGGATGGGTGGAAGACTCGGGGCCCAGGGATGGGATGGGTGGAGGACTCGGGGCCCAGGGATGGTGCTGACTTCTCCTTCTTTCGCAGCAGGGTCTGAGTCTCCTCCAGCCGAGTCTGGACTTTCTCAATGCGCTCATCTGCATCCTTGGCAGCGCTGTCCAGCTTCTTCTCCAGGAGGCTCAGCCGCACATTGGCCTCACTCAGCTCCTCTCCCTGCATAAAGTAACACTTCTAGCTCCCCAACATCCTCCCCAAAGCCCCAGGACTGAGTTAGGCCCCTAGCTGCAGGCTCCATTTCTTTCCTCAACTCCCACACCACCTTGATCCCCCTGCCAGCACCTGCTGCTGCCCAGGCCTGCCACACTTCCCACCTTAACTATTTAATCAATTATGTTATGTGCATGGTGTTTTGACTACACGTGTGTACGTCTGTGTGCCATGTGTGTACCTGGTGCCCTCAGAGACCAGAAGAGGGCATTGGATCTCCTAGGACTAGAGTTAAAGATGGTTGAGAGTCACCATATGGGTGCTGGGAATCAAATCAGGGTCCCTTGAAGAGCAGCCAGTGCTCTTAACCATAGATCCATCTCTCCAGTCCTCCGCACCTTAATCTTGAGAGACTTCTTTAACTCCTTGATAACTGTCTCTCTATCTTCAAGCTTCAAACCCAGACCTTCAGCATCTGTGATCTCCGCACGCAGGGCTGCAGCCCGAAGTTCAACTGGAGGAGGCTAAAAGACAGAGTGCATCAGAGATGGAGGCAGAGGAAAGAGGATGGAGTGGGTCAGAGGGTGGAGGCTGGGGAAGGAGGATGGAGTGGGTCAGAGGGTGGAGGCTGGGGAAGGAGGATGGAGTGGGTCAGAGGGTGGAGGCTGGGGAAGGAACATCTAGTGCCTTCCTTCTTTTTTTTTTTTTAAAGATTTATTTATTATGTATACAGTGTTCTGTCTGTCTGTATCCTTGCTGGCCAGAAGAGGGCACCAAATCTCATTACAGATGGCTGTGAGCCACCATGTGGTTGCTGGGAATTGAACTCAGGACCTCTGGAAGAGCAGTCAGTGCTCTTAATCTCTGAGCCATCTCTCCAACCCTAGTGCCTTCCTTTTAAAGATATCCAATCACAGGCAAATCATCCTGACTTCTAGGCAGGATGCTCCTCCTCCTAGACTCCTCACCCTCCACAACCAGGGCAGCTCTGCAAGCCGCACTTCTGCAGGCCCCTGGGTCCCCAGAAACCTCCACCCACCTTGCTGGGGGGCCGCTCTGCATCGTACTCGCCCTCCTGCATGGCTGTGGCCAGCTTGTTCATTGTGCTGATAAGGATGGTGCAGGACTGGCGCAGGCACTCGTAGGGGCTGCTGGAGGGGCTCCCGTAGATCTGCAAGAGCCAGGGGCACGTGTAAAAGGCTCGCCGTGGCCACTGCCTCCTCAAGCCCCAAAGCCCGAGGTTCCAGGCCAACCTGCTCGCTTGCTTTGAAAGCCAGCTCCTCCAGTGCAGCCACAGGCAGCCCCTCATTCTCTGCCAGGGGGGCAATAAGCTGGGCAGCTGCAGCCGCCACCTCCTGCAGAACAGCCACCACCCACGTCAAGTGCTTCCTGCAGTCGAGGAGTGTGTCGGACACCTGTGTGACAGGCAGGAGTCAGGAGCCCACCCAGTACAGCAAGACAGCTCCTAGCTTCCCAGTCCAGATCTCTATGTGATAGTCCCGACCCTCCCCCACACTCCCCCCCTCTCCCGTTTCTGCTCAGCTTCCTTCCCTCACAATCTCAGCCCTAAACCTGTGATCCAAAGGCCAGTGCTGCTGGGATCCCCGGAGCATCTGTCCCTGGCATTCGCCTTCGGATCTTCTTGCAGAACTGGCGGATGTCACTGCAGGATGTTTCCAGGTCTCGGAGAAGAAGGGCAATATCTGTTGCCTCCTGCCCACCCTACACACGAAAAGGAAACAGGAGGAGCCAAGTCAGCACTGGCACTAGGAGAAGTGGGGGAGGGAAAGAATCGTCAAATCCAGATGTGCCTCACCTGCAGGAAGGCACGCAGCCGCACCACCTCCACACTCATACAGTCCAGGGCACTCTGGGTGAACTGTGCAGAAAGAAACATGTGGTCTTAGCATCTAATGTGAGCTCCTCTGACCCATCACTGTCTCTGAGGAGACCCCACCTTCTGATGACTGTACACATGGGTCCTGGACCTTCGCTGACCTCATGACTGATGTCCTCCCCCATCCCTACAACAATCTTAATCACTGATCTACATGTCACCTTGATGTGGTCAGCCAGCTGCATGGTGGAATCCTCCGGCTGCTCAGCAAGGTGGATGCTGTACAGATGCTGAGGAGGATGACAGAGAGAGAGACTTTAGCCTATGGAAGGGCAAGGGCTAAGGGACCGTCCTCGTCCCAAACTAGAGTTTGAACCCTGGATACTGTGGTCTTCAGAGGAACAAACTTTCCCCACCTCCAGGTAGCTACATCACAAGACAAATTCACATCAGAGCAAAGGAGAACTGGGATTGGTGGTGTAGGGCCATAATCCTAGCACTGGAGAGGCCAAGACAAAAGCACTGGAGTTCAAGGCAACCTGAGCTACAGTGAAAGGCTGTCTTATATAAAAACATGAGTGAAATAGCTCAATAGTAAAGACACTTGCTCCCAAGGCGCGCAACCAGAGTTCAATCCGCAAGACCCGTATGGGGAAGGAAAGCAGTAACTCCCTCATGCTGTCCCATGACCTCTACATGTACACCATGGCATGGGATACACATGCATGCATGTATGCACATATACTACACACAACAGTCGTTTGTTTGTTTTTTAAATCCAGGCATGATGGCATAGATCTATTATCCCAGCATTTGGGATGGAGGCAGGAGGATCAGGAGTTCAAAGTTATCTTTGGCTATGTAGCAAGTTTAAGGCCAGCCTGGGTTACATGAGACCCAGTCTCAAAAAGAACTAAACAAAAAACTAGTCCTACCTCCTCCAACAACAAACCTACCCCAAACAACAACAAAAACAAAACCAGAGCAAACTGGGTCTCAAGCAGCCAACCACAGACATAAAACCCTGTATACCCTGGCAATAACTCCCCTTAGGTAGACGTCCCCCTCCTGCCCTGACACTTCCCCAAGCCTGAGTTCTGGCCCCAGACCTGGTAATACTTGATGGCCTTGGTGAGGGGCTCCACGTTGACAGTTTCATCCAGCTGGTCCTTGTGCAGCAGCTCGATGAGGAAATCCAGGGAGCGCTCGTGGGCACTCATCTCGGGGTAGAGGCTGCCCACCTTCTTATACACGTCCACACTGCACTGGGAGAGGGCATGCTCGTAGCGGTGCAGTGTGGCCTGCAGCAGACTCAGTGAGTATACCAGCCCAGCAGCAAAGCTCAGCTGCTCCCCAGCAGCTCCGCGAAGCCCAGGCCGCTCTGAACAGTTCTCACTGAGGTCAAACTTCTCCTGGGCCTGCTTCCGGATGAGCTCTGCCTGTAGGAAGAAGATTAGGGTACCGGGCTGGGAGTAGAGGACAAAGAACACAGACCCAGCAACCCATGGCACAGCTAAACAACCATGTGGAGGAGGAGGAGGGTAAGGATACACAGGAAGAGCAGCAGAAACAACTCTAGACGGCAAGGGACTGAGATGAGCAGGGTCACGATGCCAGGAGCTTGTGAGTGCCCAGGAGAATGGAGGGCAGTAGAACCAGGTGACTTAACGCTGCTGCTCCTGCAATCTGGCTGGACTATTACCCTGCCATTTAACCCCTAGCTAACTCCTGGCTACGTCTGGTCTAGCTTAAATGTTATTCCTTCAACAACCTTCACCTGAAACTCCCTCACAAGAAGGCTACTTCTCTCTTCTGAACAGTTTCTCCTATCTGAAGGGGACTGGTTTCAGACCCCTCCTGTATACACTAGCACATGATGTCTGTGTACCTCATGTCAAATGCACAGGATCTGCATGTAAGCCACGTGCACACTCTGGTATATGTTAAAGTTCCTCTGAGTTACTGATGCTACCTAACACAAGCTATACCGGATTGTTTAGGAAACCATGAGAAAACAATTATACAAGGTTCTTCTCCGGGTATTTCTGATCCACAGCTGAGGAATGTGGCAGCTGGCTCTGTACTCACTGAGACCTTGCTACCCGAGCTCTGAGGACAGATGGTGCCTGCCGCCTTCCTCTCACACCCTCGATGCCTGGCTCACAGCAAGTGTTAACAGGTTCCACCGCACGTGTGACTGACTGGTCATACCTTGCAAATGAGACGGGGCATAAGTAGCAGCACCAGGACACAGTCATGGTCTCCTCCTGGCCGAAGGAAGCTGTCAGGCATGAAGGCCGTCAGCAGGGACATGTGCCGGTTGGCCTGGGCCACCTCCATCTGTCTCAACTCCATCTCAATTGCCTGTAAGGTGGACAGGGAGGAGGAGGAGGGCTCTCAGCCTGGATGGGAAGCTGTAGAACCACCATGCTTGCTTCACCAGGCCCTTTGTTTCTAGGATAAGCCCAGGCCAGAATTCTTCCACAACTAGCACATAAAGCACCCCGAGTCCATAACCCCATACCGTGTCAGCCCCTAGCTACCCCCAGGTTGGGCTCTCTAACACCCCTGACTTCAGGGTCCATGTTCTGACCTTGGCATGAGCCTTGGTCTCAGCAAACTTGATTTTGAAATCAAAAGTCTCTGGAGGTGGCTGCTGTTGTCTCTCCACAGACGCCTCCTGCTGGTTCGTCAGCTCCCGATTGACATCCTGCGAGCAGACAGTGAAGCACAGTTGGTCCTGGAGCCCTAGTGTGACCGTGAGCTGAGAGCAGGGGCTAGGCAGGCACCTGTAGGTGTGCGGTCAACTGGCGGTACTTCTTGATAGTCTGCTGATAGTCCGCAACTGTCTCCTGGGCGGCTTCCACACGCTTCTGGGCCTCCCGTACTCGGGCTCCTGCCATGTCCAGCTGCTCCCGCAGCTCCAGCTCTGTCTCCCGTGCGTTCTCCTGCAGCTCGTCGTTCATCTCGTTCATCGCTTCCTGGATGCCACAGAGTTGGGGAGGGCAAGACAGGGTCAGGATGCTCAAAGGTTAAGGGTCTGATGTCAGTCTCTCTCTCTCAGAAGATCCCTTCCAAATACTCTCCAACAGGAATAGGAATCAAGGACCTGCTTTTCTCTTACCAAATCCCCCACAGTCTCCCGCAGTTCCCGCACTTTCTCTTCTAGATTCAGGTTCCGGTCAGTCAGCATCTCCACCATCTCCTCGGCACCCAGAGCGGCGTCCACCTGTGTTGAGGGAACGGGCAGGGAGGAGTGCCGCTGTAAGGGCCGAGAGGGAAGAGGGCAGCAGAAGCGTCAGTACAGGGTCCGGGTGGGGGCTGTGCGCTCAGACCTGCTCCTTCAGCTCATCGATGGTGCTCTCTGCCTGGGTCAGCTCCTCCTGGAGACGCTCACGCTGCTGCCTCACAACCTCCAGCTCCTGGTTCTTCTTTTCCATGAGCTTTTGGAGTTTCACATGCTCCTGCTTCTCTGAGGAAGAGAGATCTCGCATCCTGTGGAGATGCGGAAGGAGGAAGGGAGGGAGCCAAAGAGAAGACAGAGATGGCAGAAAGCGTGTGTCAGACACAAGGTAATGAGTACTCAGATACTGAGGCAGGACAGGGACGGAGGAAGGCCTACCTCACCAGGGCGTCTTTCAGGCGGGCATTCTGCTCCTCTAGCTGCTTGAGCTGGTAGCTTGACGCAGCCCCGTCTGAGCCTGTGAGAGCAACAGTGTGTTCGGCTGGTCCTACTCCACCAGCTGGCTGGCCCCCCTGTTCACAGCCCCTTACCTTTCTCTTCAATTTCAGCCTTGAGGATCTCCAAGTCTGTGGTGAGCTCGTCCACACGCTCCTTCAGAGCCTCCACCTCCTGCTGCAGAGACTCAGCCCGCTCTTCGGCCATCTCCTTGTCCAGAGTGGCCATCTCAATGGCATCGGCTGTGTCTGCCATCTCCTCCATGTAGCGCTCCTTTGCCTCCAGCGCCTCCTTGGCTTCCTGGAGGTTGGAGGTAGGTGGAGAAGAGCAGATGAGTCCCATGCTGCCCGTTCTCCCGAGGCACCCTATAATCCAGCCTGGATTCTGGTTCACCTCACCACCCCAGACCAGCTTCATCCCAAGGCCCACCTTCCGCGCTTCTTTGAGGCGCCGCTGCAGGTCTGCCTGCTGCTCCTGCATTTTGCTCTTCCATTCCTGCACCTGCTCCAGCTGGATCTTGTGCTTCTCCAGCTCTTTCAGCTTTGCCTTGTCTTCCGATCGTTTCAGACGCAGGGTCTCCAGTTTCTCTTCCAGGTCCCGCACCTGGGCCCTCAGCCCTTCCTCCTCCTGCCAAGCAGAGATCCCATGGTTTCTGCACAGCCCCCACCCCACCTTAACAAAATTGAGCTGGAGCAAAGACAAGAATGTATAAAAATATCTCTGTGGACTGAGAACCAAGAGCAAGTGGCATTCAGACATCAAGAGGAAAACGTGGCACACGACATACAGAGAAGGTATAAAGGCGCAGGAAGGAAGAACAGCCCAGCCAAGAGCTGACCATCCACATGCCATGTCCCTACTAGTGCTTTACGACTCCAGCCCAGCACCTAGCCAGGGGTCACAGGCCCGTGGGTGCCTTAATTCTATCCTTACCTTCGAGGGAGATGGAAGTGGAGGTGCTGCTCCAGGAGAGGTGAGGGCCGGTGTGGGGATGATGGGAGCTGCCAGCGGAGTCTGAGCTGGGGTGCTGGGCTCACTGCTGCTTAGTTCACCGGCTGATGCTGATCCAGAGGGGCCCAGGGAGCTGCTGGCCCCCGTCACCCCAGTACTGGCTGGGCGAGTAGGCTATTAAGAGGACAAGGGCAGGCCACAGAGAGAATAGAATATGGGAATGCGGAAGAAGAGATGGAGCAGGGGAAGGAGCAGAGGAGGGACAATGACAGAGTCCAAGAGCAGCGGGACGAAGGACAGTGGAGAGAAGGAGGAGAGGAGGAGAGACGTAAGATTACAAGGTTCCTCCCTTGGCACAGTGTCCACACTCTCCTTGCTCTGCCACAACCTTCAGAGCAGGATCTTACTCCCCAGAACTCCCTTCTGTGACCTACATGTGATTATTCTAGCAACTTCTAAATACTCCCATTCCCGTCCTTGTGCTGGGTCCATGTCCAGCTCCCCCAGCAGAGAAGAGTGCTTCAATGTCATTCCCAGAAGCAAAGAACAGATTAGAGATTGTTCTCAATTGTCATGTTCTCACAGAGGGCTGGAACAAAAACGTGGTATCAGGCTTTCCCCTCAGTCCTGAGAAACAAGCTGAATAGCACTCCTTTGGTCTATGTCAAGGGATCCTAGAGGCTTTGGGCTGAGTCGGGAACTGTAGAAAGTCCACCCTGGGAACACAGTAGGTAGAGTATACCCTTCTACTTCCCTCTACTTCCTCCCCAAGTACAAAGTTAGAGTTAAGTAACAGAATCCAGGCCCCCCGTAAGGTTAGAGTGGGGAGTTGCAGAGCTTCCAGGAAGCCACAAACCCAAGGGTAGACAGTGCTGCCCCTGGTAACGCTGAACCCCAAAGTTCTCCTGGTGAGCAGACATGTGGAAACCACAGAGCACCCACAAATACTCTTCCCGAGACCTTCAGATAGTCACCCTCACCCAGATACTGTGCACTGCCAAGATCCTCACTTCTTTTAATCTCACCCATCAAAGCTGGTCAAAGCCTGTCTTGATTAGCCACAGCCCTGCTTACTGCTCTTCCCTACTAAATCTACTGGCTAAGATGGCCTCTTAAGGATCAGAGGTTGCCAGGGCTGGAGAGATGTCTCAGCAGTTAAAAGTTCTGGCTGCTTTTCCAGAGGACCCAGGTTTGACTCCCAGCACTCACGTGGCAACTCCCAAAAGATCTGACACCCTATCTTTGCCTCCGAGGGCACACATATGGTACACAAACATGCAGGCAACATTCATACACATAAAATAAAAATAAATCTTAAAAAAAAAAAGGATGAGAAATCATTTTCCCAGGAGGGCCCAGTTACCAGCCTCAAGCCGCTCTTCTCCCTCAAGGGAACCCTTTGTACACGGTAACCAACATTTACTTGCTAGCATGCATGACCACATACATGCACATGCCTCAAACGTGTGTGCACTTGGCAGTGGCTTACAGAGACCTGCTTGTTCTCACCTTGGGCCGTCGAGTTGTGGTCTGGACAGGCAACAGGAGCCAGAAGAGAAGGAGTCAGGAAAGAAAGGGTCATGGCAGGAGGACAGAGGTAGCAATGAGAGCAGAAACAGCAACAGACGGGGCTAGCCCCACCAATCCCGTCCCACTGCATCCCTCAGGGAATCACCATACCTACTCCAGGAACTCACACTCCAGCTGCCCTGTTCCTACCCTCGTTTTTACCCAACCCTTGTAGGCCTTACCCCTTCGGATACCCTACAGATCCTAGAAGCCCTTCCCTAGGCTGAGCCACACGAAAGCAAAGGCAGCAGCTGGCAAGAAGGTCTCCAGAGACAGTCCTTCTGTGAAGGTTCTCCCACTCCAGCCTAGGGGCCCCACCCAGACACCACTCCCAAGGACTTTACCAAGTCTGCCTCTTCCATCAAGTGCTAGACTCTAGAAAGGACACCCTATACGACCTGGCCCTTGACAAGAGTACCACACACTCAGAAATGGGAATTCAGAACCCTCCAGATCCCTAAGACAGAACAAGGCTATCGTGTGTGTGTGTGTGTGTGTGTGTGTGTGTGTGTGTGTGTGTGTCCGGGTCTTGCAGCAGGCTCCATCCCTAAGGCAGAGGGCTCAGGTGTCAGGACTGCGAATACTGCACCAGTAAAAGCCCACAGCTCAGCAAAGTAACCCTCCCGCTGGAGGAAAGCAGTGGGGGTGGGCAGAGCACACAGGACCCACTGTTCCAAAGCAACCCAGGAGGCCTTTGGGTTACTTCGAAGTGGCAAGGGGCAACTAGCTCCAACTCCCAGAGGTCTGCTGGCTGTGCCTCGGGGCTCTAGCAAGGATTCGACTTGAGCTGTTTTCAGCAGACAGTGAGTCCAAGAAGACCAATGCCCACCCTCTAGTCAGGACTAATTCACCACAGCTGTGAGTCAAAAGCTCTTCTAGGGTCCGCATCCTGCCCTGATTAACTCCCTAGCACAAACTCTGGGGAGGCAGGATGATGGAAGAACAAGCAAAAGCTTAAGTAGGCATGCTTCAAGCACTGATCCACCTAGCCTGCTGCCTCAGGCTGGACCCCAGGAAACCCTCCCCAGTGAGTCTGCAGTAAAGACGGCCTGAAGCCCAAGCCTGTGAGGCCACTGGGTACAAGGCCTGGAACAGGCTCAATCAGCGCCCAAAGTAGATAGATCAAGAAACATACGGGGTGGGGCACAGTAGTGACACACACCTCTCCCTGCCCCCCCTCCCCTTCATCCTTACCCTCCTCCCCCAGCTAGGTAGACTGATGAAGTCAAATCAGCCCCCACCCCCACCCCAGCAGCCTGCTTCCATCGCCCTGGCAACCCGGCAGCAGGACCAGAGCAAGCAAGAGTACCTTTCGGGCTGTCGGTGCCTGTCTCATCATTGCAGAAAACCACAGAAAGCAAGGAGAGGAAAGAGAGTGAGGGGCAGCGGAAGGCAGACAAACACAGGGAGGAAAGACAGACGAAGGGAGGGAGGGAAAGGCGGCGGAGACAGGAGATTAGTGAATCAAATCCCAACAATGCAGCCTTAGCTTCCGGGCCTGCAAAAGACTGCTGCGGTGACACAGATGCCCTGGCAGGTGCGCAGCGAGCCAGCAGACGATTCCGAGCTCCGGTAGGCTCCAGCAGGCTCCCGGAGCCTTGCCTGGCCCAGGTCGCCAGCTTAAGCTGATGGCAGCCTCAGTGGCCGCAGCAGCAGCAGCAGCTCCACCTGACGTCATGCACCCACCCTCTTCGGCTCCATGGGGGTGGAGCTACCAGTCCTAGGTCACCTAGCAACCATCCAGAACCGGGTGGCTCCTCCTCCACCGGATGGGACTAAGTCCTGCGCAAAGCTGCCCTTCCTCTCCATCAAACACAAGGCTCTAGCCCCGCCCTCTTTTTCCCCTCCAACTCCAAGTCCTTGCTTCAAAAAGCTGGGCCAGGGCCACTTGCAGAAATGGCACATTAAGGAGTCAGGGAATTTGTGGACAGGAGCAGAGGGCCTGACGGCTCCATCATTACATTCTCGCCCCAACAACCCCACTGCATCCACTTCTCACACACACACTAGAGACACCCTTAAGTCTCTTATCAGGACGGTCAGAGCACCCTCCAGCACCCAGCTCCAGCTCTGAAGAGTACACAGTAATTAGGGAGCCCTGGCATATGCCACTGGCAGCAGCAACAGCTCTTACAACAGTGTTGGGCTCTTCCCTCACTTCTCCAAGCTACATAGAGATGAAAGCCTGTGTCTAAAGCTTTCTAGAAAGGGCAAGTAGTTTTAGAGGCACCCATGTTCTCTCCTGCCTCCCTCTCAAAACACTAGTTTGGGGGAGCTAACGGCTCACAGGTTAAAAAGCTGCTCTGACAGAAGACTCAGTTTGAATTCCAAGCAGTCACTTGGTGGCTCATACCCATGTATAACTCCAGTCCCGGGGGCATCTGTCACCCTCTTCTGGCATCCACAGGCACTGTTCAAACATGGATACTAACAAACATGGAAGCAAAACACCCATACACATAAACACACATACACTGGTTTCTGCTCTAGATCTAGCTCCCCGTAATGTGGGGATGACAGGAGAGAACTCTGATTGAATGATCTGCTTTGACTGAACCCCCTGGGTGCAAGACTGGAGACAGCAGGGGACACCACCGCTGCATTTTGTAGCATAAGCAGTCGAGGTTGAGCTGTCCCATTTCTCCAGAACCTGGGCATTGCTCACAATCCTACCAGGGCCATGTGAGCCTGCAGCCAAACTCGGCCAGTCTCACATGGCAGTTTCATGTTTTCCTCTACTCAGGGACCTGAATCCAATCACAAGACAAAAAAAAAAAAAAAAAATCAAGGGATGAAGCAAGTCCCCATGCATCTGGAACGTGTCCAGCATTCTTTACAGCAATATCTGCCTTAGAATTCTATCCCTACCGGGAGCCAGGACTGAGAATCAAAAATAAGTACCAGCATGTGGCCTCTACCAAGGTAAGACTCCCAAGTTTTTTCAATGCCCACCAGGAGTTGAAAAGATGCTCTTCCCCCTTCCCACCCAATCCGGAAGCTTCCATGCAATATCAGGAAAGCCTGAGACAGCCTGGCAACAAGAAGCCCACAGAACTGCACACATGGTTCAGACAGGGGCATGCAGGGCAGAGGCCCAAGGCAAGGACTGGTCGTGGCAGCAATTTAAGTGTGTAAAAGTCTCTGGAGAGGAGCTGGGCATGCGGTGGCCATATGGAATGCCACCATTAAGGAAGCCGAGGCAGAAGATTGCCATAAATTATAGGCTAATCTGGCCTACACAATGAGTTTCAGACTAGCATGAGCTACGAAGTGAGACCCTCTCAAAAGACCTACAGAAAAGCCTGTGGAAGGGAGGGGGTGGCACGGTCAAGACCCTGGGGGAGAGGGGCTCGACACATACTAGACGGGGAGACAGCAAAAGACCACCAGGCAGAGTAAAGCAGGCACTCGTGGCAGCACCGACTCAAAGGCAGGTAGGCAAAGTGCTGACTTCCAACTGCTCTTCAGGAGTCTGACCTCCTCTCTGCACAGCCACTCTATTTCTGGTACTTTCCCCAGCTCCATTAGTCCTAAGTCTAGCTAAGTGAGGACTCACCGTCAACTAGCTGCTGTGATGCCGCCATCAGGCACCTGCAGTCTCTAACTGGGGGGTGGGGGTGGGCAGTGGTCCAGAGCAGGGAAACTGTCTCTAGTGAGGGCTGCCTTGACCTGGTCCCTGAACATATGTCCTTGTTCTCCTCAAAGGCACTTTGGAAGACAAACTGCCATTTCCTCTGGCCATCCCAGCCCCAATGGTTACACACGAGCATGCAGTGGTGGGGGTGGGGGACATGCAGGAGAGCAGGATGGGCTCACAATCCACCCACCCACCCAGATACAAACAGTAAACACACCACCTTCTTAGGCTTCAGTCCCCGCTGCGTTAGGAGTAGGAAAGGGCAGAATTAGAGAACAAAGCCTGGCCAGACATCCTGCGCCAGGTGTGAATACCAACTGAGGGGAACACAGGCAAGGGGTGAGGAGCTGGGCAAGCTTCAAGTGATCCCTCAAGGACCCACTTCTAGGGTGTTCACCCCAGCTCAGAGAAGCTGGAGGCCAGTCTCCCAGCCCTCTGCAGGGGAGAGGTGAAGGGAGCTGGAAAGGCCCTCTGTATGCATCTTACAACACTAGTGACCAAGAGTCCCTCCACCTTACCCTGACCTAAACCCTCAGGCCTTGGCTTCTTTGGACACCAGAAGGTCGGAAGCTGGCTACAGCACTGGGGTGTCCTCCCCAGCTCCCTCAGCTCAATCCTACTTGACCCTAGCAGTGTTTCCTGCCACCTTTACTTTAGCCCTAATGTAGCAATTCATTAAGGACCCAGAAAGTGTCCTTCTTGGCGAGGTTAGGTGCCTGCAAGTTCAGTTCAGACCCATCTACTGCTTTGACCTGCCTAGCCCCGGGTCTTCCTCCCTCCCAGCTCCCAAACCACTCACCAATTTGCTGGTCTTTGTAGCTGCATCAGCTCCCTCTGTAGAAAGCAAATAGCAACAAAGTACATTTATACTGAGGGTAAGGGGGAAAGACCCCCTCAGTGGGATGGGGAGGATGGAGATAGGGAGCACAGAGCTGAAGCCCTGATGTTCGGGATGGGCGGAAAACTGGGATGTGAAGATGAACTTCAGAGTGTAGCTAGTACCTCTCTTGAGGACCTTTGAAGCCGAAGAATCAGGAGTCTCTGGGGAAGTAGTATCTGCTCCATCTTCAAATACCTGGATCTGAAGCCAAAGAGGAGACTCCGCAGTCAGATCAAGAACGCTGTGATCCCTTCTGAGCTTCCAGGCAAGCGGGAGTACCGCAACTTCCCTTTCTCCCAACCACAGGCTTGTGTCCCACCCAGGAAAAAGAAGCACCTACACACTAGTGGCACAAGTAATATATGTGCATGCACACACCATACACACCACATGCATACGCACACACACATACGCATGCATACATGCAAGCATGGTGTGTTACCTGGGACTGGCGTACAAAGATGCCATGGCCTTCGTCGCACGTGAAATACTTCCTTCCCTGAACAGTGCCGTCGTTCTTGCCTTTTGCTTCATCCAGGATCACGCCCACCCATTTGCCAGTGGCAAAGAGTGTGGCTCCAACATAGGCCACAGTGCCTCGGTGGCCTTTCCCAATGACCTCCACGCGGGAGCCCACCCGCAGGGGCCGGGCACTTGCCTCTGCACTCATCCTGCTGCCGCTCGGAGTCTGGAAAACAGACATTGCAGACATACACAGTCAAGAGGCTGCAGACAGGATCCCAGACAGAAAAGCACCACAAGTCATCACCTTAAACTCCATTCTAAGGGCAGAGTAAGTCTACAAATTTCCCTTTGAAAAACATCAGTGACATGTCCAAAATTTCCCCAAAGACAGGATCTCAATACCCAGGGGGTAAAGACAGGAGGATAGCCATGAGTTTGAAGTCAACCTGGACTACAATGAATAAGTTAAAAGTCAGCCTGGGCTACATAATGAGACCTTGTTTCAAGAAAAAAAAAGCGTGTTTTGATAGCTCACACATGTAATCCCAACACTTGGGAAGCTCAGACAGGATTATCATGAGCTTGAGGCTAGCCTGAACTACAGGGTTGAGCTCTAGGTCAACATGGCCTAAAGTGAGACAAACCTCAAGGGAAAAAAAGTCACAAAAATGAATAATGGCAATCTTAAAAAATAAAAAAAAAATGAAATTTAAACGATATTCCAAAATCCTCCAGAATCTACTAGAATTAATTCTTAAGAATTTAAATTGAATAACAAATCAGGATTCATGGGTAGATCTTTGAACGTCACCATATGGCTGCTTCTTGAGTGTACTGCCCCCAAGGAGAGGAAGTAAGAACAAGCAAACAGCTCAATTCAGATCAGGTTCCCCACAACCCTGTCTGAGGAACCAGAGCTGAGAAAGTCGGTGGCTCAGTAGTGGCCCTCTGCACTGTCCTCTGTGTTCCTTGGGATTCAAATGCCCTTCTCTGAGCTCTCCACCACACTCCACCCATTTCTTCTACTGTGTGTGTGTGTGCATGCTTTTTTTTTTTTTTTTAAAAAATTCTTGTTATTGTTCTTTGAGACAGAATGTCAGTATTACCCTAGGCTAGTATGGACCTTGCAACCCTCCTGCCTCAGCTTCCTGAATGCTAGGATCACAGGCACAGAGCATTCCATCAAGCTAGACTTCTCTTCAGAGGCAGAGAGCTGCACCTATGTCCAGGCCCTCAAGCCACCGTCACTCCTTCCTGATCTGATTCCTGTCACTCCATCCACATGTCCACTGTGACATTCCGGGTGGCTGACAACACCCATTCCCCACACAGCTCCTCTTCCTGGTCCTGGCCCTGCTGTCTACTCTCCCTCCAGCTCTGGAGCTCCTTCCCTGCTCTTGCTGTCACAAAGGAAAACACAGACCAAATAAACTAAGTCCCTCAAATTAGCCCCTTACAGGACTCAGACCCTGCCCAGCAGTTCAACTGGGCAGGCAAAGAAACAAACAAAAACACTGTCCTTGGGAAGTTCCCAGCTTCTTACGTAGCCGTGATGACTGAACACATGAAATTAGGTCCCAAATCAGACCATGATTTGGAAGAAAATCACACCTAAGCCATTTTTAGCAATAATTATTCCATGAACCAGCAAGCTTGCAGCAAACAAATAAGGCAAGAAAATGTGACCCCATGGGCCCAAAGACTGCAGGTGTCCTTCCTGATCCCCCACACTCAGCACAGCTGGCTTCAGAAAGGAGTCAAAACACTTCCCAGGCTGCCACTCTCTAACTCCCTTCCTCAAAAAGCCCAGCCAGTAAGATGAGGACATAGCTCCAAATCCATATGATTTGAGATGTGGGGATCTCAAATCATACCTGGGACAACGTGGAGATCATGGGCTTAACAATAAGGAAACTGCCAACGACATCAAGGCTGGACACAAACTCAGGAAAGACCCTCCCACACCTCCCAACACGCCTCTCAGAATCAGGTGGCTGCATCAGTGGATGGCAATCTCATCTCAGACAGGAGAGCAGGGACAGACCGCACAGCCTCACTGCCTTTAGTATCAGAGTCCTGAAGGCTCCTTGGAAGCCCAGTGTGTGAGTGCCTCAGCTGTGGGCCAGCCTCTCTCCCCAGCCCCCACACAAGTGATGTCCACAGGCACCGGGCCTGCTCTACCAGCCCTCCCAGGGCCATCCCACACTGACTGAGGCCACTTACCCGACTGTACGTGTGCCTCTTGCTCTGGGCCATGTTGCTCACCCGGACTCTACCCCTTCCCCCAGCTAGCCAAAGACAGAGAGAAAAGGCAAAAACCTAGGCAGGAGGGGTCAGGGTGATGGGCCCGCATGGACCGGCTCAGAAGCCATCAGGCAGGAACCTCCCTTCGTCCGTGGGCCTCCCTCGGTAGGGGTAGGGACAGTAACGGGGCCGAGGTGTATAAGTCCCTTCCAATGCCCGAGGATTCCTGAACCCGGAGACACTGAGCCCCGCTTGCCAGCTGATGAGTCTCACTCTGCGCTAGTGCTGCTCTAGACTGTCAGGAAGCATGCTGGCCTCTGGGTCCTAGTGCTCCCCGGCTTCACCTGGGCCAGATAGGACCTGCTAGAACCCAAGGATGCATCCACAAATCCTCAGCACTGGAGTACAGTGCTCTGGCAGTCCTGACCCTTCTTTCTCACCTGCACCCCCCATCACTGCCCCCATCTCCAGAATGCGAAGCCTCAGCAGGTCCCCAAACATTAAGTGCTACTCCCAAATGACCAGCTGCCTCCAGCCTCCACGTTGACAACCCCCTACACAAACACACACTTTGTTGCTTCTCTGTGTCAGCCTCCCCCCAAAAAAATCTGGACTCAAGTTCAAATCCATAAGCTTGGGGTCTGAATTTCATCTCACACTGGACAGATAAAGAGCAAAGAAGGGACAGAAATGGAGGCGTGCTCACCCAGAGAAAGACAGTAAGATCCAGGTCCCCACCCCCGCAAGGGAGAGGTCCCCTCATTCACTTTCTCTCGTCTGCTTGTTGTGTCAGCCAGGCTCTGATACCCCAGACATCACATTCAAATGGAATATTAAAGACAGTTTTCAAAAGCCAAGAGCCGCACTGTCCCCTTGGGCCCAAGTCCACCCTACCTCTGTCCCTATCTCTTATATCCTTGGCTTTGTCTCCTAACATCAGACCCAACAAGGTTTTTTTTTTTTTTTTAGACAGGGTTTCTCTGTAGCTTTGGAGCCTCCCTGGAACTTGCTCTGTAGACCAGGCTGGCCTCAAACTCACAGAGCTCTGCCTGCCTCCATCTCTTGAGTGCTGGGATTAAATGCATGCGTCACCACTGAGAGGCTAAGCGAATCTATTTTTTATAGTTGTGTATTTCACAAAATTTCTTAACAATGTTATATCACCTTCATAATTAAAGAAAAATGCTATTAGTTTAATGAAACTACTCATTCTAGTGAGATCTCCACATACGACCCCATTTATTTACATATCTGTCAATGACTAGGAATCAACAGACCTGGGTCCTTACCCTCAAGCAAAGTATGATTGGGGTCTGACCACTGGGTCCCTGGCTGTATCGTGGGTCTGGATCCCCAGACATACGTGTCTTCCTTCAACAACAAAACTGCAGTTTCTGTCATTCTGCCCACTAGCCCAGCAGCAGAACGAGCCACACAACAGTCTTCTAAGGTGATGAGTAAGTGTGAAATGCCACAAAGAAACCCATCACTTTAGATGCTAACTTCAAGTTTAATTAAAATATTCTCAGCTGGGCAGTGGTGGCTCAGGCCTTTAATCCCAGCACTAGGGAGGCAGAGGCAAGCAGATCTCTGTGAGTTCGAGGCCAGTCTGATTTACAAGTGCTAGTTCCAGGACAGGTCCCAATGCTGGGGTGAGGGTGGGGGCAAGGGGAGAAAAAAAAAAACAAAAACAAAAAACAAAAACAAAACAAATTCTGTCTCTTCACTTCTCCCAGAACCTTTAGAACTCACCTCCCTGCTTCCCTGCAGTCCCACATAGCTTTCCTTCCCTCGTTCCCCACCGCACAGGTGCGCAGGGCCATTCTGGCCCAGGCAAGCACACTAACCCATCCAGAGTACTTGCAGTCCACAGAACACACTTGAGGGCTCAGCAGATGGCTCAGTGGATAGGACAGAAATTGGGGATGGAGAGATGTCTCAGAAATAAGGACCACTGGCTGCTCTTTCCGAGAACCTACGTTAATCCTAGCACCCACAGGTGTCTTCAGTTCCATTCCTAGAGGATCTAATGCCCTTTTCTTTAGGATAGGGGTTAATGGCATTTGCTCTTCTTGATGAGGACCTGAGTTTGGTTACCAGCACCCACACTGTGCTACTCCCAACCACCTATAACTCCAGCTCACGATGAGATGCCTCTGGCCTCTGCAGGAACCTACACTTATACATGCATGTACGTGCGCACACACACACACACACTTTTTTAAATAAAATAAATCCTTTTTAAAGATAAAAAGCATTAGAGGTGGCTCAGTTGTTAAGAGCCTGTCCAGCTCTTGCAAAGGACCTGGGTTTGGTTCCCAGCACCAACATCAGGTAGCTCTGGGGAGTCTGACTCCTTTGACCTCCCCATGCATACATGTGCACATGCCCACACACAGGCACACACCATACACATAATGAAGAATAAACCGCCAGGTGGTGGCAGCATACACCTTTAATCCCAGCACTTGGACTCTGCCTCCCAAATGCTGGGATTATAGGCGTGTGCAGCCACCACCTGGTGAATAATAAATCTTTTTAAATAAATAAAATAAGAACATGTAAGACAATAACTATCTTGCAAATCTACATGCTCAATAAAAACTACCTAAGAAGGCCATCATCACCACCCATGGATATCACAGTAATCTGGGGGCAGGTCAGGGATGACAGACAAGGACACTAAGGCTGAGAGATCCACTCCTACTCACCTTACACAGGAGAGCCCCCAACGTGCTCTAGGACACTCGGAACTCCCTACTACCCTTACCTCCGGGCTTCCAATAGCAAGCTCTAAACCATACTGCTTTCAAAACTCACGCACACAAAAATAAACCTGCAATCCCAGCACTAGGAAGGCAGAGGAGAATGGTGATTTCTCGGCTAGTAAGAGCATCACAGTGAGAACGCAGGTCTCGAGCAGCCTCACTGTGCTCGGGCAACACATGGACACACCACTTCTTGAGAGCTGTTTATTCTAACAAGTGGGAGTGCCTGACACATGGACATTAGTACTGCAAGACTCAAACAAGAGAAAGCAGGGTAAGGAGCACTAAAACTATAGCATTCCAAAGAAGTACAGCCTGGCAGGAGCTAGATATATACAAGCCTTCAAATGCATAGACAATAAATACACAAAATTAGACAGGAGAAAGGTGGACTGGGAAAAAATAATGACTGTGTCTTGAATTGTGGGGCTTTTTTGTTTGGCTTAAGGCTGTACAGAAGCCCTGTAAGTTATGAACACAGAATGGACAGCAAGAAAATTATCCTCTTGGGTTCTTCTGTCAAACTATAAAGAGTTCCACGAGGTAGCCCACAATGTCTCTTTATGATGCAACTGCCCTCCATGCAGAAAGTCAAGTACTTAATTGAGTAAATAAACACACTGAGACGCACTGGTCTCCTTCCTGAGCTGTGGAGTGGCAGAGTGAAACTGCTTTAGGAAGATGGAACATGCAGGTCAGAGTGGACACATGAGCAAGCTACAAAGCAGGGTTACAGCAGGGAGCACGCTGCAGTGCTGAGCCTGGGGTGAGAAAGGAGGACCCGAGAGACAGGCAGACAGACAGATGGAACAGGGAAGACCGCAGACTGGCAGGAGCCCCACACACAGCCCAGGACACAGCTCTGTTCTACGTTACCTCTGGGCAAGGTGGTTAACTGACTGAGCCACAGTAACCCAATCCATAGCAAAAAGGCATTCTTTACCTTCTGGGTGTTACAAAGAATAAGGAAAATAAGGCAGGTGTGGGGAGCAAGACATACTAGCACTTGGAGCACGCAGAGGAGAGCCGACCCCCGAAGGTGTTGCGATTTAAGCAAAGGATCTGTTATCATGCCTGACACAAACTGTGCTCAGATGCAGGTGCCTTTGTGGTTACTGCATCCACTCATCAACACAACCTGCTCACAACTGAGACTCTAAAGCTGAAATAAATGAAGACATGAATGAATGTAAGAATCGGCAAGTGAGGGGCTAGAAAGGTGGCTCAGTGGCTAAGAATGCCTGATGCTACTACAGAGGACCTGGGCTGGTTCCCAGCACCCACCCCGTAAGGCTCACAACCACCTGTAACTCCACTCCAGTTCCAGATCTGACTCTCTCGTCTGGCCTCCACAGGTCACCCCACACATATGTACTTACACACTTACACACACACACACACAAAAAAAAAATAAACGGTAAATATTTATAAAATAACACACAAAAAAATTAGCAAATGAATAAATCAACTGAGAAGCCTTGAGGTGTGAATAATAAAAATGAGGGTTGAGGCTGGCGAGATGGTTCATGAGCATGCGTCCGTAGTCCCACCCCATGGAGACTGGGGAGGAAGGAATCCTCAAGAGACTCCATCTCATACAAGGTGTAAGGCCAGCACCAGCGACAGAGGTTGTCCTCCGACCTCCACAAGCACACTGTGGGGTACGCCTACACTGGAACATACAAATGCAGACACCAGTAATATAGTCCTGGCTGTCCTGTAACTTGCTTTGTAGTCCAGGCTGGCCTCGAACTCATAGAGATCCGCCTGCCTCTGCTTCCTGAGTGCTGGGATTAAAGGTGTGCACCACCACCCAGTCACAAAAGCATTTTTTAAAAAACAAAAAAAAGAGGGGGATCAAAGCAGAATTGGGAAAGGGACACTGGGCAGTTCTCAGGGCCTTTTCTGGGGCCAATTCAACTGCGCACACTAAAATGTGTTTCTTCACCTGCTTCCAACGTGAACCTGTGAGATAGGTGCTGGCCGGTAGTCAAGGACTAAAGGGAGTGGAATGAGAGAGAGACAGGAATCCTTAACAGACAGCATGAGGGATCTGCGATGGAACCATTCAGTTGTCACGGGGACAATGCCTGTGTCCAACCTGGGACATCATGCACAGCTTTACAGTCCTTAAACACAGGGCTGGGGGATGAACTAAGGAAGAATACGTGTGATCTCTATCATTTTTTGCGTGAGTCTGTGTGTATGTGTTTTGTTGCAAACTTAACCGCCACTCTCATGTGTTAGGCAAGCACTGTA